GAAAAAAAAAATCTTCTAAAAATTTGTGAGGTGGGGTTTGGGAAGTTTGTGGATTGGGCTTTTTTTTTTTTTTTTTTTTTTACACTAAAAGACAAACTTTTTGCCAAAAAAAAAAAATCCAAACAAAATATCACATCCAACCCTATAATCATTTCACTTTTTTCTCTCACAAACATCACATCCCAACACAAAAAAACTCAACTATCTTCCCAAATATCAAAAAAAATTTATCCAATAATATCCTACAACTAAAAAAACTTATATAAAAACTCACTTCCCAAACACCCACGATATGTGTATATTGTATGTACTTTTTCAATTTATTTTGTTTAACAAAAATAGATACATAAGGGTTAGATGGGTGTTTGGGAAGTGGATTTTTTGTAAGTTTTTTTTGTTGGAGGATATTATGGAGAAAAAAAATTTGTATTTAGGAAGGGGAAAATTGCGTCTAAGGTCCCTATCCAACTTTTAGTATGAGGAGAGATCCATAATAATATTTTCTGGTGTCTAAGGTCCCTCAATGTTAGTTTAGTTTATAAAATACTTATTTTACCCTTTTGTATATTATACGTGGTTTTCAATTTTGGAATCTGAAGATTACGTTACTATTTTTGTGGAAGATTACTTTGGGATGAACTTGGCGATCGATGGAGATTTCGATGATGCAGATTTCGTGGAAATTTTATAGGAATTTTGTAGTCGTATAGTAGTCGAGTTTCATTGATCATGTAGGAGTTGAAGTCGTGTTGAAGCTCGAATTTCCAGTAGAGCTGAATCAGGTAAGTTTAATAATCAGTTTAAGTTTTTTATTTTTCATTTGATTTGTATATATGGACTCCGATTTCAAATAAGTTTTTGTAGTTTATTTTGAATTAGGTTTTTATTTTCAGTTTTGATCAAAGTGATAGAAAAGCCAGCTTAGTGAATTATTTTTTGATTTTTGAAGTTGATTTTTCATTCTTTGTTATTGACAATGGAGTTGATTTTTCATTCTGTGTTACATGTTTATCAATGATAAGTTTTGTTCTTCGTGTTTGGAGACCGACTCTGTTTTTCTTCACTGTTTTAAGTTTTGTGCTCTGTTTTTTTCATTTTTTCTGCACTTTTCATTTTTCTACACTTTGCTTTGTATTCCAGAGAAAATTATATGTTCATATTCCAGAGAAAATTGTATGTTTATATTCCAGAGAAATTTCTCTGCATTCTGATTTGAGTCCAATAATGCACAATCACATAGAGAAAATTATAAGCTTGTAGTCTAGTGAAAATCACAGAGAAGCTTATAATTTGATAACTGATCTTCTGTGTGATTTTTGTCTATGATTGTGTTTAATAGTTAGCATTGAATATCTCTATCATTTTCTCTAGATTCATTAATTCTTCTGTAATTTTGTTTTTGTTATCTTGAAGGTGAATTTAAGTTTGTAAATTTCTTTGAACTTTTATTTGAGTCCAGAGAACATTATAAGGTAGGTATTATAATCCAGAGAAAATTATAATTATTAGAAATTTTTCTAGACTTTTATGTTGTTCTTGTGAAGTATTTTTATATTGAACAAGTTATTTTTGGTATTTTTTGTTTTAGTTTAGATGGACAGTGCAATGTTGTTGCTGTGCAAATATGGGAATGATACTATTATCATTAATGTTTCATACGAATTGAATTGATGATGCTATGATTTTACTTGCATTGAGTAAGAGACCAGCTGGGAGGCCAAAGAAGAACAAAATTGCTTCTACTGAAGAGTTTAAAAGGGTGATTAAGTGTAGTCGATGTGATAGGATTGATCGCCATAACAAGAGGACATGCAAGGAACCTTTGTTAAATAGTTGAGGATATTACATTTATTGATTGAATAATACATTTGAGAATTACTTTGTGTATTTTGTTTTGTGAAATGTACTTTTTGGACAGTGTATATATAATACCAATCAAATTCATCCAGAGAAATTTTTTAATTGCAGTGAAAATTACTTTTTATGTTGCGTTTTTAGAAACATACTTTGGGAGTGCCTTTATAATACCAATCAAATTGATCCAGAGAAATTTTCCTATAGCAGAGAAATTTGCTATGTGCATTGTGTTTGTTGAAATGTGCATTGCGTTTTATGAGGTCAAATTCATCCAGTGAAATTTGTCAATAGTAGAGAAATTTGTGAGGTCAAATCCATCCAAAGAAATTTACTATGTGCATTGTGGTAAATTTATCCAGAGAAATTTGCCAATAACAGAGAAAATTACTTTGTGCACTATGTTTTGTAAGGTCAAATTCATCTAGAGAAATTTGCCACTAGCAGAGAAAATTTCTTTCTGCACTATGTTTTGTGAGGTCAAATTCATCCAGAGAAATTTGCTAATAGTGCACTGTGTTTTGTGTGCTCAAATTCATCTAGAGAAATTTGCCAATAGCAGAGAAAACTACAATGTGCATTGTGTTTTTCGAATTTGATGATTATTTCGCACCAACACAGTGCATTACAAATTACATGATCATATAGGCACCCTTTTGGCACGATATGAGTTGAATTTTTCTGTGAAATTCTGGTAACTTCATACAAGAAAAATTTCTTTAGACAATTTTCTTTGCGTGGATTGTGTTGATAATCACCACTAAATATGCATTATAAAAAAAAATATTTAACCATTGATAGTTATGAAATTTACATTAGTTAAAACAATATATATACATATATGTCAAAAACATCATTTCTTCAATGTACGAAAAAAAAAAATTGAAGGGTCATTCCTTATTACATTGTGTACATTGTCTTCATTTCACTAGTATGCTTTCACTATTATACTTTTAGTTCTTCTTTTGGTGATATTTCAATTGGTTCTGTCCATGACCGGCCAATTTCGGTCGCAAATCTCTCTATGATTTTCTGTCCTCGTGAACCTTACGTCTTGTTTTGACAATGTTGAGCTGATAGGTTCATAGTTGCTATATTGTCTCATTATGTAGCAAACGAAGAGGCCACAATCCACACTGCATACAAATTATAGGTATAGTTAGTTTTAAGAAATATTCAAATTAGATTATCTTATTTATAGAGTTTCTGTTTCTTACTTGGTGTTTATGGTGTTTTGCTGCTTTTACGTTTCGTCATTTTTAGACAATGAAAACATAAAGATGTCAACATTAAATCCCAGAGAAATTTACAGACAACAAGAGAAAATAGAACATAACAAACACATACAAAGGAGAAAAGTGATGTGGCCGGAGAAAATTCAAGAATGGAACAAACCAAACATATACCAGAGAAAATTACACATGGCAAGCCAGGAGAAATTACATATATGCCAGAGAAAATTAACAAGGCAAGCCAGAGAAAATATGCATTCCATAATATAAAAATCCCAGAGAAATTTACAGACAACAAGAGAAAATAGAACATAACAAACACATACAAAGGAGAAAAGTGATGTGGCCGGAAAAAATTCAAGAATGGAACAAACTAAACATATACCAGAGAAAATTACACATGGCAAGCCAGGAGAAATTACATATATGCCAGAGAATTCCATAATATGAAAATGCCAGAGAAATTTATAGACAACTATAGAAAATTGAACATGACAGACACACACAAAGGAGAAAAATGATGTGGCCATAGAAAATTCAAGTGTGGAACAAATAAACATATCAGAGAAAATTACACATGGTAAGCCAGAAAATATTACATATATGCCAAAGAAAATTAAACAAGGCAAACTAGAGAAAATGTTATTCCATAATATGAAAATGCCAGAGAAATTTACAAACAACCAGAGAAAATGGAACATGACAGAACCACACAAAAGAGAAAAGTGATGTGGCCATAGAAAATTTAAGAATAGAACAAAATAAACATACCAGAGAAAATTACGCATGGCAAGCTAGAGAAAATTACATATATGACAGAGAAAATTAAACATGGCAAGCCAAAAAAAATATGAATTCCATAATATGAAAATGCCAGAGAAATTTATGGAAAACCAGAGAAAAATATGGAATAACAAGAAACAAATGAGGGAATAAACATGCCAGAGAAAATTCAAAGAAAACACATAGATCAAGCAAATACCAGAGAAATTCAAATGACAGAGAAATTTACAGACAAAATCACACAAACATCTTCAAGAATAAGTTCGAAACTTAGAGAAATAACATTTTTCAAATTCATGTAGGTTTTTATTACGAAATTGAAATCCTAATTAATGGAAGGTTAGTCAACTGTGTTTCGGAGAAAAACTAGTTGGATTGGAGAAAACTTACCAGAGTGATGATGAAAACCCTAATTTCGAACTGAAATGGCTTGAGATGAAGATGCATTGAGATGACGATGAACAATGAAAACGGGTCAGAGAAATTTGTGAGGAACGAATTGAAAAGAGTTTGGCAGAAGATAATGAAACCGTAATGGCGACAGTGAAGATGATAGTGAAACCCTAATTCTCATGTTCTCTTACTCATGAAAATGGTTGGATGTTTGGAATGAATTGAGTCGTCGGAATGCAATCGAGTTGAGCATTCTATGTTGATCTGTGAAGGGTATTTTGATCCAAAAAAAAAATTAAAAACGCGCTTGTCGTTAGTGAGGGACCTGAGACATCATTCCTATTTTTGGTGTCCTTTATGCTGTAAATTACTCTTATTAGGGACCTTAAAAAAAAATCCCCTTTAGGAAGATAGTTGAGTTTTTTTTGTGGTTGAATGTGATATTTGTGAGAGAAAAAGTGAAATGATTATGGGGTTTAATGTGATATTTTGTTTGGATTTATTTATTTATTTATTTTGTAACTACTTTGTCTTTTAGTGAAAAAAAACAAAAAAAAAAAAATCACAAAAAAATCTTTCCCAAACACTAAAAAATTTTAGGAAATAAAATAAGATATATTGTATTAATTTTTAGTTTAAGAAATAAAATGAAAAACGGTGATAGTTGGGGGGTAAAGTGTAATTTGCGCTACTACTTGAAAATGGTTTCAATGTTGGAAAACAAGGAAACACGTGTTTAGAAAAAGCACAAAGCCAAACAGGCCTTTACTCCTTTGCATATTGTTCGTCTTCTTCTAAACTAGGGCTTATTCGGAGGTCACACACTAGACAACAACACCAACAATCGATTCAAATTACAAGGCGGGCTCAAAGCAAAACCGCCAAATCGCAGAAAAACTGTAAGCAATTCCCTCTGTTTCACTTCTTTTTCATGTATATATATTTGTATCTGTTCGAAGGGTCTCTGTGTTTGAAATTGTTAGTGTTTTTGGTTTAGGGTTTGTAATTGATGGCTGGGAGAGAAGAAAACCGTATATTTGTTGGAGGGTTGGCATCGAAAACCACAGAAAGGCACCTCGAAGATGCATTTCGTCGTTGCGGAAAGATCGTTGAGTCTTTGGTAAGTTTTTTTTCTATATTTCTTGTGAAATAAATGTCGATCATCTGTGTTTGTGTTCGTAAAATGGGCTTGGAAGAATGGGATTTTCGAAATGAAGCTCATTATCTTCCAGTGTATGTGTTTTGTTTGATAATATATTGGTGTATAGACTTGGAGCAAATTAGGATTTTTTTATCCTTTTGTTTTATGAACTTTTATCTTATATGTGGAGGGAATCTTGGGGTTGGGTTTTGTGTAATTTGTTCATTTGTTATTGAAAATTGACACGGTTGCCTTCTCAATTTTGTTATTTTTTGAGCATTGATGTTACAAGTGGGGTTAAAAAAACACTGGTTATTATTGTGAGGGAAAACAGAGAGGATAAGGAAAAAAGAAAATGACAAGGAATTTCGAAGATAGTTCATGACTTGCAAAGAGGTTTATGACAGAGTGTTGCATACATTTTTTATTATGGAAATTCAAGATTAGAAATATGAAAACAAAAATGATGATCAATTGATATGTTGAACGGTGCAAAGTGACAAAAATGGTGCTGAAGTGACCAGCAAAGAATCAAAAGCGATAATTTGAAAAGAAATGGTAAAACATATAGTACATCTTAGTATTTATGTTTCTTACAATGAAAAAAAAAAGAGTGAGAGAGAGTACTATTTGTTGAATGTCATTTGCTCACCCAAAGTTAGTAAGGAAGGGATAACTAAACTGTGAAAGTTATGCCGAGTGAATTAACCTTGAAGAAATAATTTCTTATCAATGATATAATTTTAACACGAAAATCTCTATGTCAGTGAGCACAAGGTGACATAGTCAATGTTTTGACAATAATGAAGATTTCAATAGGTGTATGAGTTATATCTGTGTATGTAAATAGATGCAGTAACGTTTTAAGATTGAATATCTATCAATACTCTTGACATAGGGTATATTGAGGGTTTATTGACTGCATTATAGCAATGAGAAGAGTCCTGAGTCAGCTTGATATGCATTTTCCTAGATCATAACTAATGTTAGGTTGTAAAGTAGATATGGGCATGGGTCTGCACACTTGGCTGTTATGGAGTACTGATAGATGTAGAACTCTACACAATGCTTCCACATGGCTAAAAGTGGCAGCAAACCTATTGATGGCTATGTTCCTCTCTCCCTCTCTCTCCACTTATATCATGCATTGGCTGTGTTGGTTTTCCGACATCCTCTCTTCAGTTATACATCTCTCTTCTGTCTTCCCTTTTACAACATTTGTCAATATTGTTTTCTTCTGTTCTTCTCATGCCGATTATAGTATCTAAATATGGATTATATATGAGGTTGTTGGTCACTTAGGTTCCACCTACTCAGGAGAGCTCTGTTATATTCATGCTTCAGTCAGACATTTTCTTTTTAGTGTTATATAAGCTGAGGAGGAATTTTTCAACAACTGACATGTAGACATGTATCATGCATGGAGTTTGCAGACAACAGCTACAATTAAATACCAGGTTGTCTGATCACAAGCACCGTCTGTTAGGATGATATTTGTTCACCATGAGAGTTTAAGTTTGAGGTCCATCAAGTAATTACAGTATGTGTATATTTGATCCAATGTTGTGGTTGTGAGGCTGTCAGCTGATTATATATCATCAAAGCCTCGTTTGGGAACAGGCTAATTTAGTAACTTTTTGGCTATTTGGCTAAAAAGGTAGGTAAAAAAAACTTGTATGTTTGGGATGACTTTTTGGCTAATTACGAAAAGAAGTGCAAAAAGTAGAGAGAAAAGAGAATCTTTGACTTTTTGGTATGGGTTGTTAGCTTTTTGACTAATTTAGTAACTTTTTGGCTAATTGACTAAAATAGCCTCTTGCCAAACGAGGCCCAAATGTTGTAGCATCATTTGTGCTAGGAAGATGCCCTTTATTTGTCATATAATTGTACCTTTTGTGTTCCCCGATGAGGGAAGAGTGGCTTAAATTGGTTGGTAATTTGCCTGTGTGTATCAATTGTTTAACATTGTCATCTGTTACAACTCAGTAAACGGATCGGATTTCCCATTTTATTTGGGATACCTGAGCATGCTGAATTATGAATCACAAAAACAAAAGTTGTGACTGTGCATTATGAATATAGTCGTTCAATAAGTGGTTGTTCTTTGTGGTTTCAATAGATATTGAAACCCGATGTTTTGTTTCACTGCCCTTGTTAGAGTTTGGTCTGTTTGTTTCTTTTTTTGCTATAATGGAATGTCTTTTGATAGCCAACAAGAAGTCTTCTTAGAGTATGCTATGTTGCAGTTTCGTGATTCAGCTGGTATTCATTGCATTGAATTGTGAAGACTGTTTGGAAGAGTGTTTGAGATGAATTATTCACACTTGAATTAGTGCCTGTAACTTCTGAGTTCATATTTGTATATTTGCTTGAGAATATGAGGGAAGATAATGTACCTGTTATGTTAGAAAAGAGATTATGGTAGAAATTTTTTCTGCCAAGGGCATAGTAAGTGAAAAAATACTTATGGGAGTTGAAACTAAGCATATATCTGGAGTTTCTGAAATAGGCAACCTTGCAAACTTTCTTTGTAATGAGGTGCGGGGCTTTTTCCTTTCTGTTCCCATGCTAGATTTCACTTCTAACCCTTCATGAAGTAGTTAGGAGACCTACAATTGTGCTAATAATGCCCATGATATCTGTAGTCATGATATCAGATTGTTTATGGCATCGAAAATGTTATGCAACAACCTTCATGCTTGTCCAACCTTATATCTAGTTCAAGCATTTTTTTTTTTTTTTGCCTCGTCTGTTGGCAGTTCATCTTTTTTCCTTAGTTTTTGCTGTATTTTAGAAATTTTGGCTTGTTGGGGTTACTAGCAACATAACAGCACCAGGGTTGCTCTTTTTTTTACGAGGTTATGGGAGATGATTGATGATGTAGTCTTATTGATGTGGATTATTGCAGTTTGAAGTGGCAGTTGGTGTAGTGTAGCCATGTAGATTTGTGTGATTACAGTTTGAAGTGGTGGAGAACAAGATTTGTTGCTGTCTTGGTTCCATAAGTTCGGATGATTTGTTGTTTTCAGAGTCAGCATAGCTCCAGAGTTGTAATTTTAAAGTTGTAGGATGTTTAACTAAGTGGTGTTTTCTAATCGTCACCCTAGATTCTGTACCTGCTATTCTAGTAATAATCCCTTTTTTGTCTGGGACTCAATTTCATTGTTAAATTGCTGGCTGTAAATAGTTAAAGCACTTTATGTTGATATGGATGTATATCCTGCCGGTAAATATGTTTGTGAATTGGGGTTTATGAAGTACAAGGTTTCTTGGATTGATCAATCATCTGTGCACGAGCAAACGACATCTAATATTTGACGAAAGTTTGAGCTGATTTTTGTGCATATATTATAGAATGAAATAGAGGGGTTGTGAAGAAGGAACAAATAGTTGTTTGAGACGTGTTTATTCGGTTCATATTATAGATGAAAAAGTGCGCAGTTCTGTTATTGTAATGTTCTAGGTGTGAGTCATTTGCTTATAAACAGATCTCTGTGATGATGTGTGTTGCTTTCAAACTTCCAGTCTAGGTGCCTACCTTGCTTCAGGATATATTTAGCAACATCATGGTCCTCGGATTTGAATGGCATAATGGTTCAAACATCTCCACTGTTGGAGTCGTTATCATTTCCCATTTTGAGATCAAAATCAGATTAAGTTCTAGCACAAATTTATGGGAATTAGATATAGGGAGGGTTTCTGTTATACTAACCTGTGCTTGATGTACTTAGATTGAGGGAGTAATGAGATCAGAAGTTATGTATTTGTATTAGCCTTTCAGTCAGCATGGAGTCCTGCCAATTCTGCCATTTTTAGGTAAGAAGTAAGAATTATCAACTTGGACAGTCCGTTCTGAATTAAGTTGTTTTGTCCCTCATCCCTTAATCATGATTTTGTGTGAATATAGGTTGAATATTTTACAATAACAAGTAATTTTGGCCATTCATCTTAATCATATTATCTTTATTATTTTTGATTCAGTGGTCTACATATCAAAGGATAGAGGAATGAGAAATTAGGTTCTCCACATTCGAAGTTGTTAATTCGCGAGACCTGAGGGCATAATGTCTTAATTTCTAATTTTAGTGACATTATGAGATAATATAACATTGAGATGATCCCTAGATAGAGTTCAAATTACACATCACGTGTTCTTAAAATTATTTTGAAGAAAATATTTTTAAAAAGGCAGTCATTTGTAAGCTACACTTTTCTACAATTCTATTATTTTCTTGCAGAGTTTTTTCTACTACTATTTAACTTTTGCTCGTTGAATCCACATGGGATTCGTTTGTGATTTTGCCTGCTATAAATATAAAATAATTTCTAGGCATTCTGGTAGACTGAAATCTTTCAGAAACAGTGTGTTTCTCAACATTGCAAACGACTGATTTTATTTGATAAGACTAATATTTGGTGATTGTTATAGATCATGGTGGAAAGAGATACTGGTCGTCCTCGTGGATTTGGATTTGTAACCTTTGCAGATCGCCGGGCTATGGAAGATGCAATCAGGGACATGCACGGTCGGGAATTGGACGGTCGAGTCATCTCTGTGAACAAGGCACAGCCAAAAATGCGCAGTGAAGATCCAGGCTATGGCAGAGAACTCATGTCAGGTGGTAGGGACAGTTATAGAGGAGGAGGAGACAAGCCAGTTGGGCGATCAGACTGTTTCAAATGCGGTCGTCCAGGCCATTTTGCTCGGGAATGTCCTTCAGCTGGTGGTAGCAGCGATCGGTTCTCTTCACATTCTAGGTTTGGCGGCGGCGGCGGCGGTGGTGGTAGTGGTCATGGTGATCGATTTGGTGGGCTGGAACGTTATGGTGATCGATTAGATGGGGGACATTACGGAGACAGGGATCGTGTGGATACCAGAGACAGCAGGTATGGGACCCGTGATCGCTACAGCCATGACAGGTATGCACCACCTGTTGGTGATCGCTTTGCGGGTGATAGGTTTATGGACCGGGAGCCTCAAAATGGGCATGGCAAAGATAGGGTTTTTAGTAGGGATGAAGGACCAAGAGTTGGCAGTGATAGGTATGAAGGCGGGGGAGGGCCAACCCGTTATGAGAGAGGAAGTTATAGGGACAGGCCTGGTCCTTATGATCGCCCTAGAAGGAGCGGTCATCCATCTTCCTACGACCGGTACTGAGGCCTGGCACAGTTGTTTTTGTTTTCCAGTTCATTGATGGATGTTTGTTTTACACCAGCTAGCTACTTGGTGCTTAGCATTCGAATTTGGGCAGTTTGTTGATGAATGTGCAAGCTAACATTGCTTTCTTTTCGCTGATGAATGTATTCGGAGATGATCTCTTGGCTTATGATTTAATTACTTGTTCAGTGAGCAGGGTGTTTTAGACCTGGCAATTGTGAAAAGCTGTGATGATTTTTCGGCTATTATTTGAGTGTCATCTCTTTACTGGCTCTCTCGACCCATCTGGTTCATGTATCTTGCTGCGATGATTTTTAACTAGGCAGTTAACCAGCTGTTTCTGTACATTTTTAACCTTGGTAACTGTTGGCTCAGTAGCTTACTCTGCATTTGCAAGGATGTGGTTCAACAGGGTTTTGTTGAGGAATGCAGTATTAACAGCATTGCTTTGATTCTCTTCTCTGTCGATTCATGCGAGTTCATGACAGTAGAGATGATGAGTCTGACTGAAATGTTTTGTTGATGCTTCTCTACAGTTGTTGTAGCCCTTTTTAACTTCCCTTCGATGAGCAGCAATGATAATGAACGACGTATGGAATATAAGGTATGGGGTATTGCCAATGCCCCTAGGGTGGTTCGAATCAAGTGAAACCAAAGGCATGTGTTAGCACCCGAGATATGAGTTTGCTTTCTCTCGCAACAAGACTAGGTCTAAATCAAAGCGTCTTAGAATACAGCCCAGTAGCTCATGGTCTGTGTCTTTTTGGGGACTGGGCACTGAATACCATAGAAATATTGATTTGAATCATGGCTTCTCTTTTGAAAACTACAGTTGTGAAACTTTGTTTATATGGTATGGTATTTTTCATGAAAATATCATTTTATTTGTTAAAAGTTGGATGATAATTTTGACCTTGTTATTTGGTTTCATGATGGTTGATTTTCTAAATGGAAAGCATCTACTAGAGAGGCCTAATAAGTAAATTACAAATTCTTGGACCTCAATCTGGAAATGACAGGATTTTCTTTTCTTGTAAACATCGATGAGGAAACTAAGGCCTTGTTTGAATAGTGGTTGAAATAGTCAAAAAATTATTATAAATAGTTACATTATTCTCTTTATTTTTTTACATATTTTTTTTTAAAAAGTTAAAAAATTAACTAAAATAATTAATTTCTAAATGAGCCTTAAAATTGTGATTTAGTAATATAAAATCTAGATAAATTATTTGATAGTTTCAGAGTAAAGTACATTGTAACACATAGAGGGTGCTTTTAACACCAAATGAGATTAATGTGCCGATATTATTTTTCATCCAATCCATTGAGGTGTGGGTTAAGTTGCATCTATTTTTCTGCTACTAGCGTTTTTATTATTCTTAAAACACCATATCAACTTGTTGAATTAGTATTTGAGATTTACTAAATAATTACTCTTAAATATACTAAATCAAAATATCAAATAAATTCTCTCTCCTTCCTTACAATATTTATTTGTAAAATGATGGGAAATGTACCCAAAAAAAAAAAATTTATTTCAGAAATGATGGGAAATGTACCCAAAAAAAAAAAAAAAAAATTATTTCACAAATTTTTTTTTTTTTACCGATACGTGAAATAAGTTCTTATTACATAAGTGTTAGAAGAATATATTTATTTAATAAAATTAATTGTAGCGAAATTTATTATTTATTGTTAACTATTATTCTTTTTACCCGTCTTCCAACAGGTAATACACTACATAAGATCTGGATTCTCCACCCACAACCACCTATCTTTTGATGGTCGCGACAAGATACAATAGCCGGCCATCAATAACTTGGATAAGCAAAATAACAAGCGCGGATGCAACATAATATGTATACATCTTATATTTTTTTCTGCAACATTTTTATACACTATGTTTTAATATGTACATTTTATATTTTTATCTGCAACATGTGTATACATTTTGTTTTTATCAAGTACTCTGTTTTCTCTTCCTTTTTGTTTTTTAGCTTTTGGTCGTTTTGATAATAGCCAAATGACGATCAAAATATTTATTGTTCACAAATATAGTATTGTCTGTGGGCTTTCTAGTAACAGATATAATCATATATAGGAGACCTTTGCCATATAAAATGTTACACTTGCAAGATTTTAAAAACAAAATGAAATGAGTATTGTGTTTGGTTTTTCTTGGTACTCACAGCAAGAGAATCTTCTTTTTTTTGGATAAGCAAGTCATATTATAACCAAAAAAGAAAGATATATAATGAAATTCAATACACACCTTTTGTAGGGAGAATAAACATAAACAAAAATAAACTACTCCCTCAAAAGAAACAAACTAAGCCTATAGACGACAAACACAACATACACAACAAAAGATTCAAAATTTTCCTCTAGCACTCTTCAAGTAATGAAGTTTCGTTTTGAGTTTTCTTCTGTTATTTTCCTTTGTAGTCTCCCCATTAATGGGATCACTTGGAGATGGACTCCCTCTATTTTTTAGGCTCTTCGTTTGACACAACAACTCTTGATTTAATTCTCCATTCCCCAACTCTCCCATATCACATGATTCAAGGACATCAAAAGTATTAGATGTTGATGGAGTGAAACGTTGTGTCTCTCCCTCTTTGTTTATCACTGTCGTTGAACCTTGCCCATTATCTCTCCCTTTTTTCTTCACCACTTCCCACTTAGTTGGAACTTGTATGTTAGTCTCCTTGACTCTCCACTCTTGTTTGGAAGATGGAGGGTTCAAAGTCTTTGGCTTTTGAGAGCACAAATTAGTGGTATGACCAAAAGTCTTACAAACATCACACTTTTGAGGCTTCCATGGAACCTTAACTTGAATCTCATATGGATCACCATAACCAAGATTTATTTTGAAAGACTCAGGGATCTCTTTATTTGCTGGCACTTCAACACATATTCTCACAAACGTAAGTCTGCTTCTCTTGAACGTAGGCTCATCCAAATAAAAGAGGAGTTCCCATGATGCTAGCAATGTAACCCAAACCTTCTTCAGTCCAAAGCTCCAAAGGAACATTATACAACTTCACCCACAACGGTAAACTCGAAAATTCACACTTTGTTAGTTTTAGTCCAGGTTGCCATTTTTTAACAACAATCAATCTAGCCCCAATGTAATAGGGGCCATCTTCCAAAATTTTGTCTATAGCCTCTTCACTTTTTACTTTAAAAATAAAAAACCCATTATCAATGGAGACAACATCTTCAAGCAAATTTCCCCAAAGTTTCTCTGCCCAAGTTTTCACATAATGGAAAGAGAATATTTTATCAATGAAGTATCCAACCAAGGCATTTTCCCAATGAGAAAAGCCTTTTTTTGAGATCTCTATAGGGACATTGTACATGCCATCTACTAGGTTCTCAATCTTATGGGCACCTATTTTATACTTCACTTTTGACACCTTGTTAATCTCTTCTTTAAGTAAAGAGCTCCAAGCTTGTAGAGGCTTACCTGATATAGCAGTTGTATCACCATCAAGACATTCACCCTTGCCAGATTGTGTGTCTTCCATATGTAGTTCAACCAAATCCTCATTTCTACAACTCGCACATTTTCAACACTCTTCTGTTGCTTGGTGCCAATTACTTTTCTCCTTTGATCAACACTGGGTGAGCCAAGTTTATTTGTCATTATCATTTCATTTGCCGCTAGTGGGGAAACAATGGCCAATTTTGGCCACTGCTCAAGATCAGTTAGCACTCTAGTTGGTGTGTTCCATGCATTAGGTGTTTGATGCTGCTTTGATGATTGCTCAGTTGAGGCTTGCATTTCCACATTCAATTGCAACCGTGGTGTACCAAGATTTCCACACAAACATAGATCGACACAATCACACTCAATTGAGCTATCCTCCGATTCCACATCCCTTAAACCCCTTTTGTTTTCATTCGAGGGCCCTTGCCATGGTCCCACAAAATCTCCAGATATGAGAAATTTGGGGCTCCTCAGATGCGTGTAGACCTGCGGGGGAGTACAGCAGGCATCTCATCGTAGATATTTGAGCATCCACCTGATTATCAAACTCTTGCAAGGAGACCTTGGTTGATTTGCACTTAGCAAATTTACATTTTGATTTACTCTTCGCTAATTTGCTCTTAGCTAGTTTGCCCTTCTTCATTGACAGCTTGCTGCCTTCTCTGTCTCTCTCTTTGTCCCTCTGTCTCTCAGCAAGAGAATCTTTATTTATAAATGATCAAATGTCATCTATCCATAATTCTCAACATAACTCTGCACATTATAGTGTTAACAAATCATGACCATAGTCAACCTCAGTTCTTCCACTGCCACCAGTGGTGGCTGGACAAAAACAAGGATCTTTACCTCCCATCTACTCACCAGCCGGTGGTTCATGGTTTTTGCCTCCCTCATAATCATGTCCGTCAACGGTGAAACCTACATGTTTGGCCTCTACTCTGGCGACATCAAATCCTCACTTGGTTACGACCAAACCACCCTTAACTTGATCAGCTTCTTCAAGGACTTAGGTGGCAATCTCGGCCTCATATCGGGTCTAATCAATGAGGTGATGTTGTGAACTATCTTGTATTTACTGTACACTCATAATATTGTAAAGGGGATTTTATGGCCCCTTTGTAGGATTTTAGGTTCCGTTTGTTTTCAGAGATAGAATGGAAGGGGTTCATAGTGAGGGAATTAATAGTGAGGGGATTGTTAGTAAGGGGATTGATAGTGAGTGGATTAATAGTGAGGAATTATTAAATTATTTTTATATAAAATAATAAAAATAATAAAAAAAAATAAAAAATTAAACATTATATTTAAAAAAACATTCCCAATATAAAAAAAATAAAAAAATTTCTAATTCCCTCACTATTTTTCTAATATCATCTCTACCTCCTCCTTACCAATCCCCCTTCCTCCTCCTTACTAATACCAAGGGATTACTAATCCTCTCCCTATCTCTCAAAACAAACACTCCATTCTCAATTCCCTCCTCACTACCAAACCCAATCCCCTCCCTATAACCTCAAACAAACGGGGCCTTAGAGTGGTACAGAAAAGAGAGCTACAGATTTGTTCTTGTAATCCTTATTACAGATTTTGAATTTTTTCTCTCTCTTGTGGATATTGGCATTCTATCAAACCACGTATATTCTGTGTTCTTGTGTTTTCTGTGTGTGCTTGATCTTTTATTTACTGCTTTGTTGTGTGATTGAAACCACGATTTTGCATATCAGGTCACACCGCCGTGGGTGGTTCTCCTCATTGGCGCTGCCATGAACTTCTCCGGCT